TGATGGTTACAGTATTTATTTGAATAAGCGCCCAACCTCAAATTAGCACCCATCCTAAAGGCAGAAAAAGTTAATAAGCACCCAGCCTCGAATAAGGTGAGGTGTCCATCTTATAAAAGTGTCCGTTGAGAGAGAGTCGACTGTACTAATCTTAGAGTCGACTGTACTAACCTAGATTTGCACTTGAATTTTCAGTTCATGTCTTTCACTTGTAATAAAGATTTAGGTTTCTGGAAAACTGCCCACCTACCCCTCCCCTAAGCTGACATTAACACTGTACTTCTCACTTAGAGGAAAATAATGGCTTAGGCCAGGTGAGGGGTAGGTGGGCAGTTTCCCAGAAACCTAAATTCAATGTATTTTTTTAGGTTAAGAACTCAGTGTGAGATGCTAATTCTTAAGCACTCTAAGGAGTATGGCCGAAGAGCTGAGGAACGGCTTTGGAGAAAAGTCTTTTATGATGTTATCCAGAAACTGCGCAGTCACAGAAAGGTTAATATACCAAACACTAAATGACTCAAATGACTTAAAATTCCTTGGTAGCATAGCTAAGCCTTACTCATGTAGATATGAGGGTTTTTCCCCTTTCCCATAAGATTATCTCTACAAGTTAATTGAGCATGATTATCTGGGTTAAAGTAGTCTTGAAAAAGACTGTTGTTGACAAGGACTGACATTTTGACAACTTCTGCAGTAGTCATTGTGAGAGTCAAAGTGAGTTGTATCATGTCAGTTGATGGTATTAGATTCTGGTTATTGATCTGATTGGTCAAATAAGTCGCAAGGTTATTGGTCTTCTGTCAGTTAAGCCGAGTAGAATGTGTTTTGATCCATCTGTTGTCAGAGTTAAACAATCATTTGTTGTTAGTGTAAATTGTTGGTTGTCCAGTCATTTTCATAGTAGGTTGACTGCACAGGTTGTCAAAACATCAGTCACTGTCAACAACAGTGCTATTCAGGACTATGTTCACCCAGACAACCATGCTCAACCAACTTTTGAACATGGTTCATACAGTCTTGAAAAGTCCTTGAATTTTAGGGGAAGTCCTCGAAAAGTCCTTGAATTTTCTTCAGCTTTGAATGTAGTGGCCTTGTAACTGTTTTTAAATGTTTTTTGGTTGTCCAAGACAGAATATAAATCATAGCTCAGGGAAGTTTAAAGTGATCTTCATAAATCATTTTTTGTTTATGCAAGAATTAAATATCAATTTAAGACAAGTGAACTGGAAAATGTACAGAAGTTGGTGGAGCAAACAGTTCAAGCCGTAAAGTCCTGTTAGAGTTGAGAGGGAATGTACATTTTTGTACAATCTGTGAAATCACATTCCTGGTAGATAGTCGTTGAAAATCTAATGCGGTCCTTAAAAAATCCCTGGAAAGTCCTTAAAAGTGGTGCAGTTTTTTGTATGAATCCTGTATGAAATGACTCCTGCCAGACTCAAACCTTTTTTTAATTTTTTTTTTATATTTACAGATTCTGGAGGAAGATTCTGCAGGTCTTGACGCAGTACTCCGTACCCATCTGTCATCTGCCGCAGGATATTATTACCATCTGTTGACCCATCTTCAGCTTTTTTATCATCTTACGCTGGACAGTGCATTGTCTTGGGGATTTCCTTCTTCTCAAAAAAGTAAGGTTTCAATTTTTGTCTTTTATGCTGTGTCCCGGGGGGCTGACTGTTCTTTAACCCATTTGCTCCTGGGAATTTTGCTGAAAAACACATTTTGAAGCTAGTCAAGCTATTTTCTGGTCACTTTCTGGCTATAAAGAGCTAAAACTTACCACAAAGCCATTTGCAGGTCGTACACTTCACGACAGATGAAAATAGTTGACAAAATAGTAACTTCCGAAGTCTGGGCATGGGCAGAAATATGCAAGATTTTATACAGTTGAACCTCAACTAACTGCCACCTCTCCACAACAGCCACTTTTTTTGTCTCGGCGGACAGTCCATACATTGACTTTTATTAAAACCTCTCCACAACGGCCACCCCTCCATAGTGGCAACGGCCACTAAAGTGTGTCCCTAACTGCAAAAATAACCTCACCACAACGGCCAGTTTTTTCAGCGACTGATGAAAAAGTCAAGAACAGTCATGAAATTTGATTCGTATGGCACGCTGATGATTAATCGCGGCAATCGTATTTTGATTTTGTTTGATTTATACTGCTGCAGTAAGCATAAATATTGTCTATGATACTTATAGCGAATGTTGCTTACCTTTCTTGTTTTGTCACGTTAACATTTGATTCAAAACATGATTCAAACTTTTGTGCGTATTTTATCTCTATATATTATTTATGATTGGATTATATCATTATGGGAGACAGTAAGCATGAACTTAGCACAATAAACATTTTGTACTCCCTTAAAAAAACTGTCGTATAACACCCCTTACCTCTCCATAATGGCCACAGTCTCCACAACAGCTACTTTCATGTGTCCCCAAGGTGGCCCTTGTGGAGAGGTTTGACTGTAGTATTTTCCCCCTCATAGCTCAACCTGTAATAAACTGTAATATAATAACTAATAATAATAATAATAATATTAAAAATTGACAATGCGCCTTTTCCATGTAAATATGATCAAAAGCGATCTCAGGAAAAAGAGCACCCTTTTGAAGTTAATTTATCTTTAGATGGATATTTCTTCTTGTCGCCATCTTCTTCTCTTGATTTATTGAACATTAGGCTGTTCAAACCTTTATAAAGCAGTCAGTGGTCAATTCCCCAAGAGTGTAAAAAAGCTCCAATAAAAAGTCCAATTTAAGCTTACATCTCGTTTTGTTTGTCCCCTTCTGCTGTTGTTTTGCCAACTCTCTACAATTTTCTTCATGGACAGTGAAATGTACAAAACTATTGCACTTCAATTTCCAAGAAAAAACTTGGAAAAACATCACTCTGGATTCTGATTGGATGTATCATTTTTCTTTTCACTCGTGAAAACCATTGTTCACTCCTCTAACCTTTAGGCTAGAACTCATCTGCACATGAAATTTACAACATAGCTTTTCATTGAGTATATCTCATTCTGTATATTATAAAATAAGTTATTTGTTTGTTTGTTTGTGTGTTTTCACAGCTGTTGCTGAGGATGATGAAACTGTTTCTTGGGCAATAAGAGCATGTCAACGCTGCCTTATTTACTTAGGAGATATTGGTAAGAGTGCCAACATTTGGATAAGTTCAAAAATTTCATTTATGTTTAAAAGCAAGAGCAAACTTATAGTACATGTACCTGTTACAAGAATATTTTGGAAGTAGTACATTGTAGTAGTTTGCAAAATACTGAGTTACATTGATGTATCCATCCTACAGCTCGATATCAATCAGATCTTGAAGGGGAAGATGCCATTAAATTGGCGGAAAGGTTTTACTGTGAAGCTGCTTTGATTAACCCAGATATTGGTAAGTCTACACCAGAAAGACAAAAAAATGTCATTGAAGGTTATGTTCACGGTCAAGACTGTTTTAGTTCATAATAAAATACATGAAATTTCTGGAATCTGATTGCAATGCCAGGGCTCAAAGTTTAAATTTGAGTTTGGGAGCACTTGTGCTACCAGATGTAAATTTTTAGGCGCACTTCCGAAATTTTAGGCGCACAGCTGCAAATTTCAGGAGCACAGCTTATAATGTTGGGAGCATCTATTTCAAAAGAAAAAGTAAAAAGCTTAACAGTGCCAAGTTTATTTGTCATCTTCCGTTCGTTACTTTTACTTCAGTCCTGTGATTGATAAAACACAGCCGATTTGCTACGCAGTAATACCGTTGTGATTTTTAATACTAATTTCTCTTTTTGACAGTACAGTTGTGACTAAAGAAAACTTACACTTTCAAAACTGACAGCAATGAGTGTGTCGAACGAGAATGAAAATTAATCTTTAATGAATTTGTTAAATGCGCAATGACTTAAATGTAACTGAAATGCGACTTAAAAAACTTTCTTACCTGGAAAAAAAGGCTCTTCATCTGCACTGTTTTTGTTTTGATTGACTTTAAAACTGAATGTTCAACATGATCGTCCATTGCACAAAAAGTACGTGTTTCGTTCGTAGCATATATTTTCATGTGTCAGCGGTGTTTATTACAACACAGAAGAGTCTGGGATGGAGTAAGACATCGAAACGAAAAAGAACATTCGAGTTCGTAGAATCCTTTGTAGAATCCGTTGGGAGAAAAGACCAATTAAACATACACCGTCTTTCTAATTCGAGTTCGTAAGTATAGTCGGAAGTTAGTCAGTCGCACTGTGCTTTGGGTTTTACGGCGCACAGGCGCGATTACACATGAATTTTTAGGTGCACAACCAAGAATCCAGTTGCATATGTGACCGGTTAGTCGCTAACTTTGAGCCCTGATAATGCACTCTTTAGTAAAACACAGCACAAAAATGAGGAAAAAAATTAAAACACCTCAGAGAGTGGAGCAATATGAGTGGCTGATAAACAAAGGCAGTTCATAAGAACCAATCAGGTGCTACAATCTTTATTGGCCACTTTAAAATGGCACAGGGTAACTGGGTCATTGTTTTGTCTAATTGCATTGTGGGACTTTCTTGGGACAAATTTAGTTGTAACAATTTTTTTATGAATATTATTGATGGGTAATCATACACCTTTTCTTATTCTTATTTTTCATAATGCTTAAGTTGCATAAGCCTGTGATACTTTCTAAGAAACAAATAAATAAATTTTATTTGATTACCTATACAAATTTCACTGTTATGAAAAAAATAGTTTCTATTGTTCTCAACCCTAGTATGACCATTGCAAACAAAGTTCTATTACAGGTACAGGTTAGAAAGCACAGCAAGGAGCTGCTTCAGATGGGAATGAAATTATTACATTTAATAGGCTTGGTTTGGTTTTCAGGGATGCCTCAAAACCAGCTAGGAACACTTGCAGGAACAAAGGCTTTTGGCTGTGAGGGAGCATATTTTTACATGAGATGGTAACATATTTTTTCGTCTTTTAATACTAACTTTCTTGATGCATAAGAGTGCTAGTTCCTGCTGTTTGATTCAGTCTCTTTTGTTGTGACATTTTGTTGCAGTCTTTTGTCAAAAGAAGTCTTTGAAGGGGCTGAAGGGAACTTGCTAAGAATATTTGAAAAGAACAGATCTATCCTATACAGGATAAAGGAGTTGCCTCTTGACGAGCCCCAGCCCAAAGAAAGGTATGACTTGAATTCCCTTGCATTTCCAATGTACTTCTTGGTAATATTTTTAGTCAGGGAAAAGGGGTTGGAGAGCTCAGAATTCCACTTACTCATTCCACAGGAATTAAAGGACCAAATGAACACACTATCAGGGCAGGAAAACTGACTGATCATTATACGTTTCAGAAACTGCTCACCTTCCCCTCCCCTAAGCCAACTGTAACACTTACTTCTCACTTAGGGCAAAATGTTGGCTTAGGGGAGGGTAGGTAGGCAGTTTCCTAGAAATGTATAATGACCCAGGTCCGATAGCCCAGGACAAGTAAAAATAGAAGTTTAGTACTAGTGATTTTGCTCTATTAAACGACGCAGTTGTCAAGAGAGGTTTCAACTGCATAATGCTTTCTTTGATTACTTTAGATGGGTGTTCACACACAGACGTTGAACTGGAAGTATCACTTTCCCTTTTTTGTCAGTTGATAGTTAGTTTTGACTTTCCACAGATTGAAGCGCTTTCTTGTTTACTTTCTCTACTTACAAGATGTTCTGTACCAACATGAGAGGTGAGTTACACCAGTCTAAAACATGGACGTTCTTTTCTTGTAAGAAGTTTTACAAAATTTTGGCAAGCTCATCACCTCCTGCTTTAAGCTTACTTGTTTTGCAAAGAAAATAGTATTATTGAAATCGAGGGGCATTTTGGGGTCCCTATGTACAGCTTTTGTTATGTAAACCGTAGGGAAATTCACTCCTTTCGTTTTTGGGGAGAGCCTATATGTACTCCCTAAGTGAGTGACTAATTTACACTGTACAAATGTGGCTTGTTTAGATGCACGTTTCCCTTTTTCGCTTTACAAGTACATGTAATGTTATTTTTTTCACCCCAGAGTTTTGCAACAAACATCGTTTTGCGACTGATGCTTACTTATGAAAAATTGTTAGTTCCCCAGAGATCAGCAGCGAAGATATTGGTCATTTGTGTCAGTCCGTGTTGCAAGACTTCAGTAGTGTGCTGTCGGTAGATCCATCATCCTCTAATGGACACAAGCCAGCAATGGAGAATGGGCTCTCCCCACAGGAGAATGGGCACCAGGATACTGACGTCAAAGACGACAAGGATGGCGTCATTAGTAGCTCGCTAATGGTCAAATTGGTTGTCATGGCAATTTCTACTGTCACCAGACTGCAGTCCAATAGTAAGTGCCCAATCGAGTTTGAAGATGAGAACCTTTGACCTTGTGTTTAGTGCCAGTCGTTAATGACCTCTGAGGCGATTACCCAGTAGTTCTGATACTTTAGTGAGCCTGCTGAAGTCTGTGGACAGGCTCCCAAGGGAACAGGGTAGAGCGCGGAAGTTCCCATCCCTTCCCCCCTGTTTTTTACCCTTCCCTGCTCTGGTTACCGGTCGTTTCTATCCAAAGTGGTTTCGATACAAGTTAATTCCTTCGAGGTGTAAATATTTTCAAGTACTTGGCTCAAAGAACGAAGAATATTCACCCAAAATGTTTGTATTGTTCAATTGCAAACTTTACTTGAAGTAATCAAAATTTTTGTGCAGTTTTACTTCTTGAGTTCGTATCGAAACGACTTTGTATCGAAACGACCGGTTTTCTCTGCTCTAGATCTACGCACGTTTTCTGGCCTTTCCTTCGTCCTTCAGCAGTTAGCTGCATGCCGTGTTTTTGCGCAGACGTGCCGTTATGGTGCCTTCATTTTTACTTGTCAAACGTTTCGCTCAAACTCGACTTGACAGGAAAATTCTGTTTTCACTGCCTCGCCACCTCTGGTTACCAATCAGTTCGATGTATGGGCCTACTGTCTACCCTTTCGCCTACTACCCGTGATTGCTGTTCCTAAAATTTCCACTTAGGTATAGGAACCAAACTGGGAAGTCAACCAAATAACTAGGCGAATTGACAGAAATTGTCACCTCCGTCAACCCTTTGTCTTTAAGTGATTAAGGTTTTGTCCGTCAGCAAATTTTCTTCCGCACCAGTTTTTCTCATCACTTGCTCAGTGTTTGCGGAAATATTATTTAGGAATATGCCTTGCAATGTTAGTTTAAGTGCACAATTCTTGGAATACCAAAGACCTGTAATGCGGTGAACATACAGCGCGGCATTTTAGAAGAAAGTGAAACCACAATAAGTGACACGGAGGAAAGTGATAAAAACTTACTTAAAAGTTTAATTTTGTTGACATTTTTCGCAGATTCCCAAGAGTCTTCAGTGGCAGCTGCATTTACCTTAGCGTTTCTTTCTCTCCTTCTCCAACACTGTATTTCCTCATTTGAAAACTTCTTAGCAAAGGATCCGACCAGCTCCGAGCAGAATGTGGCAAATGGACCGCAAAAAACAGCTGCCACGCAGAATGGTTTGAGCGCAGAAAAGCTACAAAAGCACGAGAATTCCTCGTTGGGATTGAAAGCTACCAAGCCCCTAAAGGACTTCAACGAAACAAAGAAACTGAAGAAGGCATTGAAACATCGGCGTCGACGACGACGAAGAAGAAATGTCGATTACAGCTTTGAGAGCTACAGCGGTAGCGGAAGCGATTTTGATGAATCCGGAGGCGAGATTGACGAGGATAGTGATTTAAGCGAAGGAGGGGGAGATGTGGAGAATGTGTTAGAAGACCTGATGAGCGACGACAGCGATGATGTCTATGTTGAAAGTGAGTCGGATAGTGAGAGTGGAAACACTGGATCTGTCCCTAAGACTGTGTTCAATTCTTCAGGGGGTGAAAATCAGCTTGAGAAAAGTTCCTTACCCAAGTCTACGGAGAAGTTCTCTGCTCATCAAGCTCTGCTTGGCAAGCAGGGATTGAAAGGTGGTTTCTTGTGGCAGAACGGGATTTCAGTTGGAAAGATTTTCAGGCCGGATCTGTTCAGTGATGTAAGCGATGCTGAAACTGGTAAGAGTTACAGGTTCAGTGTATGTCTTGTGGTTCAATTTTAACCTTGGTTTAAATTTTAGTTCCTTTTGTTTTTGGAAATGGTAATGTCTGATAATGAGTTTAAAACAAAAGAAAATAAAATTTAAACCAAGGATAAAATTAACCACAACATATGTACTGGACACCAAGAAGTGGGTTGAGAAAATAAGGAACTTTAAAAATGCCCGGATCAATTTAAGTTTCTGAGAAACTGCCAACCTACCCCTCCCTTAAGCCAACATTGTGCCCTAAGTGAGAGGTAAGTGTTAATGTTAGCTTAGGGGAGGGGAGGGTGGGCTGTTTCTCAGAAACCTTAATTGATCCAAATGCCCTTCATTTGAGGGTCAATGTATCGCCCCTTGTAAAGGAATCCGGATTCCGGAATCCGTGAAATTTTTGCTTGTGGAATCCGGAATCCAGAATACAGCTCAAGGAATCCGGAATCCCACTAACGATTGGAATCGAGAATTCAAGTTCCCGTGACAAAGACCGGAATCCGCTACTTGGAATCCCGAATGCAAGAGTGTCTTGGATTTCCTTGCATGAGGCAAAATGTAGTTAGCATGAAAGCGCTAATTGGGCTGGGACAATATTTTTACGTCTTCCAACAGGAGACAGGACCACCATTTCACGTGGTCATCAGAGCCACGCGAAGGTATTAATAGCTCGGCTTTGCAGGGTAAAGGCAGTACCTTCATTTCCCAGTTACTTTTAAGACTCTGGTCCGGCCCGACCCCGGGAATCGAACCCGAGGCCTCCCGCTCTGCAGGCAAGCGTGCTACCGTCTAAGCTGTTCTTGTGCGGTCAGGTGTGCAGTCTAGTCTTTCAAACCGAGTTCCATATGTTTGGCAGTATAAGAAGATTCACTCTTCCGAGTGTGAGACAATGTATACATACCAGAGAGAGACCATTACAATCGTTTTTCCACGCCTGTTGCCCTCAGGTTTAGGGACCCGGGCTTAGAAGTGTAAAATTGGGCCATTTTAGTGGTTTCCGCAAAAACTTGTTAGCGTATCTTTTGGCTGAAATACTTTTTCCCTGAGAATTAATTCTAAGCAAAAGTAATCAGGGAGCTCCTAATTCGAGGACGCTTGCGTTTGATATTCCACTATAAAAGCCAGTTCTGAGCACAAGACCCAAAGTTGAAGAGCGATTTACACAGGATAATTTATTATCCAGTAGCAAGATATCTGGTGCGGAGAAGAGACCCTGGTTAAAGGAAACCAATTGTGCCATCCACTGGTCGAATACGTCGACGGGCGAAATACATGTAGACTTTAAAAGTTACACGCTTACTCTCCCTGCCAGCAGAGCAGAGCCTTCGTGTGACTTTTTGAGAATGGCTCTGCTTGAATCGAGTGAGATCTTTAGTGAGCATGCGCTGCATGTTGCTAGGATACAATTTTGAACGCAGGCCTAATAGCCGCGCGCTTGGTACAGCGGGCTCAGTTATGACCATCGGTTTACCAATAAACAGATGCTGGCACTCAAAAAACCAGTTTGACGAGAGAAAACAAGATTGACTAGCCCAGACGTTTGGGCTGCGGCGACTTCAAAGCCTTGACGCGATTAGGGCAGAGCTTCCTTTTCTCTTGCTTGATCAAAAAGAAAACAAAAAGAGGCTCTGCTCGCAGGATGACCATGTTTTTCTTGTAGGCGATTTAGTTACCATAGTTACACGGTCGACGCCGTTTGAAAAGACATCGTTACAGCATTGGCTTTGTATTTGTGTTTAGAGTCATCTGTTGCATCAAGAACTGAAATACTGCGTGACTGTGTGGAGTCCAATCTACTGAAAGCCATGGCGGGTCAGAAACTACTGCCAGCAATCAAAGTATTGACTGACTGGCTTCGATTGAACGCAGAACTTGTTACGAGTTGTGTTGAGGTAGGAATGTTTTTGTTGTTGTTGTTGTTGTTGTTGTTGTTTTTTCACATAATTCTGAAGGGTTTAACCCCAAGATGTTTCTTGTCCCCTTCAGCTTCTTTTCCCCTTCATTATCCCTAACAAATAAATCTATTTTCGTATTTACCCATTACAACCTGTAGGTATTTCCCTGTGTACTAGATTGCCCCAAGCTTGGATCAATCCTTTGACACCTAGCGTTGATCAAAGCAAAAATTTCGAAAAAAAAGGATAGATTTTATTTCTCAAATCCCAAGAAATAAATGTTGCCATTGAAAAGTTCTACCAAAAAGGTTCATTTGAGTGGTAATACCGTGGAATTTCGTCCACAAATACAATAGTTAGATTGACAAATCATTACACGATAGCTCGGCCTCGGAGTGAGGGGTTTAAGTTACTCAGGACTATTGAAACTTGAAAAATTGGGCAAAACCACAATCCTAGCGGCAACTTGTGTTGCGAAATAAATAAATGAATAATTTTTATATATTTTTTTTCTTTTCAGAGTTTGGGTGCCCTTTGGTCGAGATTAGCTTCACTCCTGAACATGTTCCCTTCCGCTGAGCAAATGATGGCGGCAGGTTTGTAGTAATTGTCTCATCCCATTAATTTGAAAATATGGGGATTTGGAAGTCTTCAGTCAAACCATTTGCTCACAAGCTACAATCCTCAGCAAAATAAGTTTGACCCCATGGATAAATATAGTGTTCTATATAACCTCCTGTTCCCTTGTTCTTCAATCTCTTGGCACTTTTCGTGTTTGCATTTCTCCTCTATGACTACTGGATTAGCGTGGATAACCTTAACTCGTTTCTTCCCTGATACTCGATATCCCCTAGTTTGTTAATTCCCTAACGCTTCTCTGCTTGCATCCGTTCTCTATGCTTGGAAAAGCATAGATAGCCATGACCCCCCTATAGGACAATTGCACGATAACGTCATTTTACTACAACTCCCAGAATCCTTTAGTGTGTTGTTTTCTTATGCAAATTAAGGCTATTTAACAATTATTCTTTGAAATCGAGGTGAATAGTGGCAAAATATTTACCGAGCCGCGAAAGCGGCGAGGTAAATATTCCCAAAGCCACTATTCACCGAGATTGAAAAGAATAATTGTTTTAGTATATACACACGAAGTGATCTCAACAAAATCAGAAAGGAAACCATTCAAAAGTACGATTTGATTGACAGATCAAATCACGCGTAAGTTTAATAGATCTTTGCAGAATTTTCAAACATGGCAATTCACAAGTTTACTCATTTCGCAAACAACAGCGTAATGGCCTCAATGGAAGCGCTAAAAGTTTGAACTGTTTCCTTACCTGAGAAAAAAAGTAGACCTGTGTTGTTTTCTGTTGACTCGCCAAGTTTATAGCCAAAAGGGTTTGTTGTGTTGTTCTTCGCATGAAGTGCTGACAAAAATGGCGGCTCGGTTGCTCGAGGTAAGAAGTCGTCTTCCTGTATCATTCTTTTTCCTGTTTACTTGAAATGTAGAATTTCTGCAAACATTTCCTTTTAAATTTGTTTGTCATAAATAAACTTCGATTTTTGAGCCAAAATTTTCTTCTTAGAAAACGCTGAGTTCACGAAACGGCTTCTTCTACGCGAATACACGGGAGTTGTAAAAAATCCATCGAGCGCAAAACTCCTGCTACAGTAAATTGAAAAACGCCGTATTGAATCCTTCCAAGTCTTTTCTTGCCTTAAAAAAAGTCAGCCCTAGGATTTTGTCGACTTTTAAAAGATCGTTCTCTAAAAAAACGGGAAAAACACCGAGCTCACACATTATCCACTCGCTAGGAGGTGAATATTGTTGAATAGTCCGAGATAGCGAACCAATCAGATTGCTTAAATCACCAAGATCACTGAGTGTGTATATACTAATGTTCTTTAATCCTCAGCGGGATTGACAAATTTAAATAAGAAAGCAAAACCGAAATGAATTCTGGTAGTTGTAGTCAAATGTCGTCATCGTGAAAATGGCCTATTACTACTTGAGATACATAGCTTAGGATGGCCTCGTCAATCCACAGCCTAGTTACAAGAAGTAGCCTTGTTTTCTTTTAATCTCCACCCTTAACAACTTTCCGCCTTACGGAATTGATTCCTTTTATCTCTTAGTCCCAATTCCAAGACGACCGACATGGCGAGGTATTCTTGATGAGACGCTCGACGAGAACTGGGTCCAAACACGTGGTCTGCCGGAAGACATGTCGCTTTTAGGATTTACACCGCTGACTGCAATACACAGCAAGCTCGACAAGAAGTGGAGCAGGCTTACAAGAGACTGCCACTATCTTGAGGTAATATCGCCCCCTTTAAATCATGAATACCGTTGCTGCCTCGGGGATTTTTTCAGTCCATTGCAAGGGCAAATGTGAGCCTATGCAAAGCCTAATTCGTTCCTTAGGAAAAGTCAGGGAAGGGCATAGTCATCCCCCACTTATTTTTGGACCAAACTGAGGCCCGAAGGGCGGAAAAAAAAAAATTCGCCCCCCTCACTTATCTAAGGGTCTGGATGACCGCCAACCTCCCCCCCTCATCTCAAGGTCTGGATTCGGCACTGGTAGTGATGTAAGAAAATGACGCTTTTCAAGGTTTCTCATAAATTTCGTCCGATTTCTGAAACGACGTTTGGCGCGATTTCAAAATTGCGTGCCAAAACAAGCGGCGATTTCGTGGCAATTTGTCCCTCTGTATTGGTCACCGTTTGTGGAACGTGCTGTAATTTTTCAGCGATTTATCTGACTTTTTTCGCGAGAGTACGCTATCCTAAACAACCTAGTAGATAAGCGTTTACATCAGATGCGCAACAGGCACAGGACTAATAAAAAAAATCACGCAAAGTAAAGCACGAGCCTTAAGAAGCTTAATGTTAAGCACTCCCTCATGCATCGAGCCACATAACCGTATCATTGAACTGATAGCATCTAAATACGGAAATGTGAGGTCCGAAGTTGAAGCATCCGCAATTCAGAAATGAGATTCTCGTTTGCTCTTTAAAAAAAGAAGAAATACTGTAGCCACTCTATGAATGGTAAAACCTTATTCTTTTTTAAGGAACGACAGGTCAACGGTAAGCTGTGATTTGAAGATCTACCCCTAAATTTCGTGTCTTCTTTTTCTTTATAGGCAGCGGTTCGAGTTCAATGTTTAAAGAGCTTTGGTATGAAGCTAGCATTAACCGAGGTAGGCTTATCCTTGAACCCAAGGAGACAATTTCCACAAAGAGTAAAGGTACGGTAAAACGGGCAACAAAAACTTGCAACCCGTTTTGCAACAGTGTTGCAAAACGGGTTGAATAGCGATGCTGTGCGTTTTACCACTCACGAATCATACTATCTTGCATCAAATCAAGTACTTTCAGGTTGTGAAAAGATGTTGCAGAAAGTAGAGAGTAGCTTTACTTTTTGCAACAAAATATGTCCATGTTGTGCGTTTTACCGGATCAGGGAAAACTGAAACTCACATGACGTAACTCACATGAATGGCGCGACTCCCACGTAATTTTATCCAATCAGAAGTCACACTATCCACGCAACTTGCAACAACCTTAGTTCTTGCAAGAGAGGTTTGAACGTGAGTTGTAGAACGCGGAACATGGCTTTTTTATCGTTGTACTTTTTTGTTGCCCTTTTACCGTAGCTTAAAACAGCTACCTACAAAAGGCGGATTTTTTGTGGTCTCTTGTGTGAACTGAACTTTTATAACTTTGCTCATGCTTTTTTTGTTCGTCAGGAGCTGAGTTCATTTGTTTGGGATCAGAGCAAACAGCAATTCCTTGGGCCTCAGCAGATGGCAGAAAGAGAGAAGCGAAAAAATCCCGATAAACAACAAGCACCGTCAGCTCCCGTAAGAGAGAAGTTCTTTAGTGTAGTTTGTGTTGTAATGACTGGGTTGTAATAAACAATTATTCCACGAGTGCCCGTTGGATATGAGTTGGCTATAATCATCTCATATCCAACAAGCACGAGTGGAATAATTGTTTTATTAAAAACTCCCACAAAATATCGAGAATTCTTCCCGACTTTATTTGTAAAAACAACCGATTTCAGCTTGTTTTTAGCTTGTTTTGAGCAGACGCGCACAGTTACCATATTGGGAGAGCATGGTATAATGGCTCATAAACCATGATGGCTAAGCCAATCAGAGCTCTAGAATTGCATTATCCAATGATTCAGTTTTTAATAATAACACTTATTAGAGGGACGAGGACGAGATTTTCTCAATACTACATAGCTCTTTTAGCTCATTCCTTTCCCTAATATGATCGGTACCCTCTCACACCACTGTTAGTATACGGGTGAACGCAGAACGCGCCGTAGGTGAAAATGTTATTTAAAGGAGCTGTGTCACGAAATTCCGGCAAATTAGGAAATTACAAAATGCCAGTTAAATTATGAGAAACGTAAAAATGACCGCTTAAAACTTTAAAGGAAGGTTAAAATAACATAACAGAAACAACAGATGCCACGGATGGGCAAAACTGAAGAAGATTGAAACGGATTGAAATTAGGATTTTTGAAAACTGTTCAGCCTAACAGTTTTTCAAAGTTGATCCCTGCTGCTTGCAACCTTTCAAAAGTAATGCTCAGGAGACATATTTGTTTGCCTTGGATCTCTGATTTTGTCATTTACGTGTAATTTCTTTGCTTACTTTAAGTTCCATAGCGATTGAGGGCGAGTAATTCGCAAAATTAAACAAAATGAACTGGACTGCCGTGACACAGCCCCTTTAATAAGAAACCAGCTCATTTATTGCCATGCTGAATCCTTACCTTCACCCTGATGTTCTTGTGCCGGAAATCTCCTCTAAAACAAAGCAGAAACTAAGAAATGAATAGCACTCTGAATGACCCTCTTATTTTTGCCCCTCAGGGAAACCGCTCTCGTGTAATGAAGGCTATGGCACAGCAGTTGTTACAGGTAATGTCCAATAGATCTTTTTTTTTCTTGTTCAACAGGATATTACATGTTAGACTTCTCAAATATCCACTTTCATATCCTCATCCGCAGTTGACACCTATGTGTATTTTATATATTCTATGCCAGCTTTTTAGTATTTTGATAACACTTAACATCCAGATTCAAAAATAACCTCTGTGCGACGTGAATGAGTCAAAAGCTGATCAGTCGAGTACTGTTTTTCAGAGTGAAGTGGCGGAGCTGGAGAGCACTCTTAAAACAACTCCGCATGGAAGTACAGCATACCTGGTCCCTGATGCCATGTCATTATGCAGTCAGCTTCATCTGGTGCGTAGGCTGGTCACCGCAGAGAAAATGGTCATGATCATTCCCATTCAAGGTACTTTACTTTTCCTCTGCCTGTTAAAGTGGTAGTTTTGCTATATCTAAAAACTATACTCTCATCTCTGTTTCTAAGAAAGCCTTGATTGTCGATCTCGAAGTGCGCAAACCTCACCCTCGATCTCAATCCGTCGTTCCCAGTCACTCTTTACCCTGGGTAACGACCATGATCGCGCGTGAAAAGTCTCTTGCAGGATTAGCTCAGTCGGTAGAGCGCTTGACTGAAGAGCGGGAGGTCGCGCGTTCGATTCCCAGGGCCGGACCAGTATTCAGGGTCTTAAAATAACTGAGAAATGAAGGTACTACCTTTGCACTGCAAGCGGCTAGACATTCACGTGGCTCAGATGAGCACGTAGAATGACGGTCCCTTCTCCGGTCGGAGACGTAAAAATAGTGTCATCAATTAGTATTTTCGTGCTAGTAAATACCTTGACATTCAAATAAAGGGCATTTTTTTTGGCACCCAGGGTAGTGATGCGTTTGCCCGACACGAAATAACGGCTGACGTATTTTGCAGAGTTTTTCCGATCTCATGACTTTTTCCCTTGGCAAAATTTCAGAAAGAAAACCCTACGGCTACCATTTAAAAAGAGCAAACGTGTGTGATGATTTTGTTGACACTCTATCCAGGGACACACAAGAAGTTCCTCCATCACGTACTGTTTTTAGGTTATAAGTGGTTTAGCCTTGTTTTCTGTAATAAGATACACGTTTTTAGCATTAATTTGCTCTGTATTTTCTTCACAAATTTTTAATGAGTGTTTAAAGCCTTTTAAAAAAGCCACGGTACATCATCGAAATGTGCCACGAGTTCATCCGAGGGAATACCTTTCAAGACTTCAAGTCTCACTAAAGAAGCAAACAGTATAGTCTTTGTTTATAGTGTTGAAACTCAACCAAGGCACGAGACGAAAGCTGAAACAAACACTTTCGTACTTCGGTGGCGCTCTTTGCACAATCTTATTCTCGGATATCCTGTGCGCATGACTGCTGTTCTATTGCGCAACAGTCTGCTGATGTACCTGAATTTTTAAGGATCCTGAAACATAAGTGATTAGGACGAGCTTGAAGATTCTGACTCGATTTCTGCATTACAGTGATAGCCGCGCTGGACGAGCTGAAAAAGTATGACAGCGGAGCAAGAGAGGCTACAAAGTTTTTAGAGCAGGAGTTTAAGAAGGGAAACAGGTAAACCCGTTTTTTTTTTTTGTCGTGAATTATGTGTTTCCGTTACCACAAAACGTAATTACTACAATTTAGATAACAGAAACTGTTCCCTTCGCTTACATGATTATCTATTTTGTTGTGATTTAGGTGGATCCGAGCGCAGAAGGAGAATGAGACGTTGGGTGGAGGCAAAAAGAGAGGACGCTATGAGGATGTCGCTGTTTGGTGAGTTGGGGATATCATTGCCTTCCGTTGAGTAGCTCATAGTTTTTCTTAATGTCCGAGTTTTGGTATTCTCGGAGCTAAAAACTGTAGCTGGTTGAAGTCGAGGCTCATGAGAGGGGAATCTTGTCATGTGCAAATGCCCCTCAGAATTCGCCTCAATTTCAAGCTAGTTCCAGTTCATCACCGAGGTTAGGAGTTGGTCATTTCCGAGTTGCTATTTGCCTAGGATGAAGCACAATGGAACTCCCCCCCGCTTACTACCATCTCAATTTCACCACCACATTTTATTTTGTCCAAACCTAACACGTTCGGATGTTTTCTGACGCAAAGGCCTCCTTAACACGAGCAGATTTTCGGCTCCGCTTGAAAATTGGCTAATGTACGGTAAAGTACAGGGCTGGGGGAACAAGCTGCAATCATTGTGGATTAAGATAACCCAGGGGTTGGTTCGAAATTGACCACTCTAGAAAATACCATAACATAATGCTCTTTGTTTGTCACCCCAAATTGTGCATAAGCATTGTTTTCAGTTTCTCTTGGGGCCATTTTAACTCCCAAGAGAAACTGAAGACAATGCTTATGTAAAATTTTGGAGTGACAAACAAAGAGCATTATGGTATGTCATGGTAGTTCTGGAGTGGTCAATAGGCCATTTTACATTTGTGGGCTTGGTGCCCTAGCCTTTGAGAGACCGTGAGGCTGAGGTTGACCTTGTTTTGATACAAACGTCATTTCTTTTGTAATGTAAATTTTGCTTAAAAAATACTAGTTAACATAAGAAAGACATGATTTTCATAATAAAGCAGGAAGGGTTGTATCAAAACAAGGTGAACTCCAGCCTCGTTTTCACCTGCAACTGGAAAATGGGCTATTAGAATTCAGATGTGAATTTGTCTACAATTTGATGCGAAGGTGCACTTAATAGAATAGAGAAAATGCTTTTGAACATAAGAAAAAGATACTCGGATTAACACGTAACTCCGAGTTAACATTTGTTGGTACAAACATTTCCATCGTTAGTCATTAATTGTTTGCCATTTTTATTATGAAGTTTCCTCATTATAATTACGTTTTTCTAATTTTTTGCAGGCGTTTCAATCAGATCATCAACTGTTGCCGGTACTTTATAAATCAAACTGGCAAAGGCCTAGTCACTTTACTGACCGGTGGCAGCTCGTACGAGTCTCCAAAGCGAGGCCAGAAAAAGGGCATGGCCGCTAGTGGTACCCAGGCCACACCCGAGGCGGTGGAATTGGCACGGAACTGCGGTATCAATGTGGAGTCGCTGCGTGTGTTTTGCGCGCGATTTTCTCAGCAAGCGAAGTCAGTCACGTGAAGCAGTTAAGAAATGATCCAGATGTTCTGGAAGTGCTAAAGATATAGAGGGTAATGACCCTTAAGACGAGGTGTGAACCACAGCAGAACCAACAAGACCGGTTCAGTCTAGGTAGAGGCATAACGTGACTACAACCACAGGACAACCACCTTCTATTTTGTTGTATCGGAGGGTCTTTAAGATGCGATCGTTTTCTTAGGGTACACTGAACAAGGTAACTTTTATCTTAAACCTTCCAAGTTTTGTGGCAAGCTACACTTAAGCTGTTTTGTCTCTTAATTTGCGCCTTTCTCTGTGGCCTTGCGCCCGTTATTTCTCCTCACCGGAGGTCAGCAGTTCAGATGGTTAAAAAGTTTCGTGATCGCTATTATGGTGGCGCACAGTTTCTGCTGCCAACAAGAAAAATTCAGAAAGTACTTAGGTAGACAGCTTTCTTTCCCAGACTTAGAGCCTTGATTGGGAGGAAGTCAAATTGAGAAAATCTTAATGTAATCTTACTAGTTTTTCTTGTAGTGCTGGTCGTTAGAGATCTTTGAATCGACACTGTCGCTGTATGGATGCAGGAGTTAAGTCACTGGTAGTTCGACGGTGTGGGTTGGGGTCGAGAATAAGACAGTTTGTCCTAGGAGGGTGGGGTTGGAGTAGTTGGTATAGTTGGAGTTTAGCGTAGAAAACCTGTCACAGCACGATCGCTGTTTTGCAAACTTTCATTCAGTTTTCAGAAATATTTCTGACCCTTTCCAGTATGCCAAACCTGAATTCATTCGTCAGGTTTTAAGCAAGTTTTACAGGACCAACTAAAAGTTGCAATATAAGCTTCCGAGTTTTCTATATTATCAAAAAGTTTGAAGTTTTGACTCCTTCATTATTGGTCTGTACTTGTGTACGTTTATCTTTCTTCTTAACAGTTAAATAGTCCTTACTACGAAGAATGTGTGAGCAATGTCTCTTTTTCTTTTCCCGTGAAGCAGTTTTCTAGTGTTTGTTGAAACGGACATGTAGGTGCGTTTTTACTTTTAGAATACTCTCGCGAAACATAGACCTGTTTAACTTGTATGTTTTGTTTTCCTAGTGAAGGTCTCAGGGAACTTGCCCCTTTGTCTTTTCATAAATTATCCGTTCATATGCACGGGATTAAGACGAAATTTGAAAGAAACGGTTCTCAGGAGTATTATCACATGGCCTACACTGGAAACTAAAACAAAACATACAAGCTAAAGAGGTGGTCTATTTGTGCTAACACTAGTGACATGATTTTAAGCGCCTTAATGTCTCTTACACAGTTCTCACCAATCCCAGGTTTTCCCGCGCCTTAATGTATGTCACCAGTTCCTTGTTTTGGCGCGCCTTAGTGTGTGTCACCAGTTCCTTGTTATCCCGCGCTGCAGTGTGTGTCACCAGTCGCTATTTTGGCGCGCTTTAGTGTGTGTCACCAGTTGCTATTTTGGCGCGCCTCAATTGACTATTTTCCAATTCCCCATAATACACTCTGTCTGCCCCCCAAATTTTGCATAACTTATTGTCTTAAAATGCCCTTGGGAAAATGCAATACTCCCAGGAGCATTTAAAAACAATGGTTTATGCAAAATTTGGGGGGCAAACAGAGTGTATTATGGGGAATTGGAAAATAGAGAATGTGTATCACCAGTTTCATGTTTTGGCGCGCTTGGGACTAGTTACTGGTCTTCCAATGCTTATCACCCCTTATAGTTTTCCCTCGCTTAGCCGGAGTCGGCTACTGGTTTTCCCGCCCTTTGGTTGATTGAAAGGTTGTGATTGGCAAGTTAGTGTACTTTAACGGCGCTCATTTGAAACGACTGTGTGATCAGAAAAAAGCAAGGCGGGAAAAACTGGTCTCTGGTGTTGCTGAGGCTTAGTTACATAACAACTGGGAAGAAACCTATCCTCGGTCTTTACTGACAGCCCTCTATTGTGCTTGCTAGAGAACTGATTAGAATAACTTCTGAAATGTTTTAATCATAAGTAAGGTCATTTTTTTCTCTAAGCACGTTGCAGTATAGCCTATCATAGATCATCAGACTAACATAAAGCGAAATAAACCATCTTGATGATAGGAGTGTCGGGTTGTTGTGGTTGGTTTTTTTTTTTTTGCTTTCTTGAACTTGCGTTTTCAGCTGGTTCCTGTACCTGCGTTTGAACTTTTACCAGTTACAGAGATGCATACTTCTCAGTATAAGTGAAACGTGGATTCTACTCTTTCACAGGCCCTCCATCCGAAGTTCTTCAAACACCGAACTTGTGGTCAGGTTCTTTAGCAATGCACGTTTTCCCCCTCAGTACCTGGCGTTTCATTCGAAACAGCATTATTTATTTTGCTGTTTTGTGTTCGGTCCAGTTTCTTGGTGTTGGTGCAATCACCAAATGACGTAATACAAAGGACTTAAAAGACACCGAACTACCTACACCACAACACAAAAGCGAACAAACAATGGTTTCCGCATGCGCAACGCCCGCGTTCTCAAATCGGATTGCTAGGATTTTGGGGATATATTTATGCGCCCTCTGATTCCTGGGATAGAATCCACGGGGCACTCTTATTCCTGGGATAAACGTCAGGCGAAGCTATCGGTTAATTCTAACGCGTCCGCAAGCGATCCCTACCGTTGCTATTGTTTTTTTTCTGCGTGGAAACATTTCAAGAATTAAAAACCCGCATATGCCCATGCCAAATTCTCGCTAATTAAGCAAGTTAGCCGGTGGCCAATACCTGCTATCCAGTGGAGCGAACTAAGCCCATTAGGAACTTAACTATGCGAGGAGAAACCGCATGACACGTGATTTGAGTTGCCTTCAAACCGGGGGGAACTCCCATACGAAAGAGGCAGCGAGGCTCGTCGGAAAAGTAGAATTAAACGCCCCTGGGGGCTTTCCATTCTGAGGACATTTAGGGAGACCAAAATCTACTCATCCCCGTCATTTTTATGCGGGAGTCCCCTCGGGCCTTGACTTCTGATTACTTTAATATATATCACGCTTCTACTAAGAAGAACGCGCTCTGTGGTCTCAACAATTTAAGTGCAATCAACCATGTTTTAAGGGTCTTGTTTGGTTATATTGTTGCGTGCAGGGAACGTAAGAAGAAAAAGCATTTTAAAAAACAGGAGGAAATTTCTTACATGTCGGTCTTTACGCTCGGCAAAAGTACAATAAAATTGGCCAAAAGCCCAACTCAATGTCTGCATTGTGGATCAGAGAGGTTTCTATTTAGAAGAGGTTTTTATGCAATACGATTATCGTAAAACGATATCAATCTTAAAAGCGCTAAATATAACTTTCTATTTGTGTTTGTTTTGTTTCTTGAAGTAATTTGGCGTTCTGAGAAATATTTTTCTTAATCATTAATGTAACCACATGGCAGACAAAGAAAACACTGAAGGCTAGTTTACAAATTTCACGACCGCCCTGATTAAAATTGTTAAGAAGCCTCTGTTATTTTTTAAAGGAAATTCCTTCGGCGCATTACTGCTAAGAAAGCGACTCTGCCAAATCATCTTCTCGTGATATGGCACGCTGTTTAGAGGATTTTCAAAAGCGACCAAATTAAAAGGCGAAAACGTTTGAGATTCTGAAAAATACCAGACAGTTTATAAACAGTATTTTAGTGGAGTATATTTAAAGCAAATACCGTAGCAAGGTTAAACTGTGTAAATGTTTTTATAGCGGATTTGGAGCGTTAAGATGGCAATTGGGTAGCTTTGCCGTGAATTGCCACGCGCGTGACTTTTCAATAACACGCCAACCTCGAGCATTTCAAAGTCAAAAATAAATTGACTGTCAAGTCGTCTGTTCCTACTTGAGACACTCCAGTGAAAAGAACACGAGTTTTGAATTCGAAATTCGGGCTCGTACAATGAAGAGCAGAGTACTCACTCACTTGTGTTAATTTAATAAAAAGAAAGGAATTTTAAAGAGATTTGAAAACCACAAGCCCCCAGATTATACATCACAAGCAAAGCAGAGTTAAAGGCTATTAATTTTCAAAGCTTTCATTATTTCTGGTCGTTTCCTTCGTAACAAAGAGATACCGCAAATAAACATAGCTTATTAATTGAGGCGTTTTTGACTAATCGTAAAGCAGATGAAGGCTATAAATCACATACTATCATATCATCACTGCTTCTGCTTCCGTTTGGTAAACCGGACAGCTTACAGAAACATAAGAAATTATTCAAGCAATTTGAAACTAAGTAGCAAGAGTTTACAAGTACCGACAAATGCCTTGGGATCTATATATTTACAACACACGCAAAGGAATGCTAGTAATACTTAAAACCACGTGTGAAACCTTGTGACCACAGGGAAAGGCGGGGCAATGGCTATAATCCGCACATGTGGTCGGTCACCAAAACTGTCAAAACTAAATGATTGCAGCTTTCTATTCAAGACAAGACAAAGAGGGTTTAAAGGACTGCTAATCCTCTCTGTCTTCGTACCTGCCAGTTCGAAAAGAATGTTACCTGTTTGCGAGTAATAAAAGCTTTGTCATAAGGCGCAATAAGTTCGGTCACCTGGAGAATGGAAGCACAGGTCGTTAGTGCTCCTCCAACGACTGAACTCTCAGTCTAATCACGTCTAATGGAGCGTTCGCGCAGGGTTTTCAATCTCTTGAGAAAACCCTGAGGACAAGGAAGAGGAAGGCTAGAACTGGCTGTGCCTTCCTTTGATATTCCTTCCATGGTAGACCCAGTCATTTTTCGGTTGAGAAAGGCGACACAGAGCCGAATCAAACCGTTCACCTGTCAAGGTGCCCAAATTCCCCGTTTCCCTTTCGAACGCCGCACGGCAGGCTATGCCGAATCGAGAAGAGTTCCCTGCTACTAACGCGAAGAAAGGATTTCTCACGCCACATGTTACGTTATGTCCACAATTTAAACTTTCACATTTCACGGTTACTAGTCCACGAATAAAGCGAGCTCTCTCTAAACGGAAACCTCTCTAAAACGGACATTAAGAGTTGGCCTGCCGTTTTCCAGTTACATCATTTTATATATTTCTCTCTAAGGACGTGACAGCGGCCGTTTTATCGCCGGTCCATCTTAAAAAGCGTTGACCGTATAAGTTTCGTAGATAGTCTCACCACAGTGGATAAGTTCCCACCTTCCCCTCCCCTATCCCAACACTTTGCCCGCGTGGCTTGCACGGCCGGATAAATGATACAGCCCTTAAAATTTGTTCTACTAATGCCTGGTCCTTTCTGGTCCATTGTTTTGTCTCTGTTGTTATGTTTGTTTTTACTTTTCATTTCGTTTGTTTTATGAAAAAGAGTGAGGTGAGAACATATGAACTCCGAAGCGTGCGGCGAATGCGCGGGAAGTCCGCGTCGTTTGGAAAGACAGTCGCACTACTTTATTAAATTACAGGGCATTTCTCCCGTCCGTGTTGCTTGCCGGGCAGGATGGCTCATCCTCATTCTTCTCGTGGCTTCACCAGCTGTCTGTTGGCGCAAATAAAACATATAGGCCTAAAACCGACCAAAGAGTAAGCCTTCAGCAAATCACTCCGCGAATAAGATCCATTAGATTTTCCTCATTCTCCTCATAATTTGTTCGCAAAGAAGCGGAAAATAAATAAAAGTGTCTCGCTATTGATGTTCCGGCCATAAAAGACATAAAACCCTTTACAATCCCAAAACAGGATGCGGTTTCACTCTGCAATTAAAAATAATGGATTCTTTTTTTTCAGACGATAGGCTTGCGCTCAAAACCTCAGGTTTTTAACCCTAGAGAGCCAATTTACCGGATCAACTCATTTGCTCAAACTCCCACGCACTTTCACAGTCTTTTTAGAAACCCTTTTGGGTATAAGAGCGTTGTAGCGCCCCTACGTGATATTTGGAGGTGCCAGATGTTAATTGGACCATGAGATATAACCCTTTTACCGCCAATTACCAATCCACTGACACTACTTTTCTAGTCTGGTCCACTTCCGTTTCGCTAACCATAAATGAATCATGGCTGCTCTGAAGGTCAAGTATTTCCTACTATGAGCAGAAATGTTTATCTTGTATTTATTAAGAGGTACATTTATAACATGTATTCTTGCGGTCCCAAGCCGAGTATCGCCTCTCCCGTTTCCGTTTATCCTGTTATCGCGAGCTCTTATCCTCCCTGGCACTTTTCTTTTGCACTCTTTTATTTTCGATTTCAACAGACTTGATCCAAGTGTTTATTCCGGCATCACGAACTGGCCTACGATTATGCAAGACAAAAATCCCGAGGGGTGGGGGGTACTCCCTATAGTGGCCTATACGAGGAGGGTAGGGATTTTGCTTATTAAAGTATATATGAAAGAGGGTCTAAATGGGGTTTAGTGTTTATTGTTATTTGCCCATAATTTTTAGTGTTGATGTTAAACTGGCCAATTTTTTAATGTTTACTGTTTCCGAGGGAATTGGAAGGTTCTTCGGACAATGGTCGGACCCCTTCGTTACTCTTCGGAAATCTTCGACAGCCTTCGGGAACCGTCGGTAGCCTTCGGAAATCTCCTGAAATAATCCGGCATTGTCGTAAAATGGCCGAAAATTCCTCGATATACTAAACAAAATAACTTTGGCCTTTTGGCCGCCGTTTTTGCTTCTTTCCGGAAAAAGATAAATGTTTCAAAGAATTTTTTACAGTTAGTGTTAAAATGCCTAAAATTTAACTGTGTCATGTTACAAAGCCAAAAAATGAAGTGTTTAGTGTTATCGTGGTACCCCCATTCAGACCCTCATGAAATGGAAGGGAAATCTGTCATTTCGTTCCGTAAAAAAGGCCTAAGGGCTAAGTAATTAGTATCCATAATAAACCATCTGAAAGCAATAGTCACACCACACAACTCCGCGCTATGGCCAGTAATTAGTATCCATGCCTTTTATGACTCTGAAAAAGTCGAAAAAAATTGGCTCTGACCACTTCTAGTGTTGTGATTATTCATACTTTAACGGCAGTGCCGTTACAGCCGGTAAAAAGGATGCAAACTGGCTCTAAACCAGGTATGTGAAAAGGGTACCATTCTTCAATAGAAGGTATACGAAAGGAGTACCC